TGACTTTGGTTTTAATATATTCACTTACCCTGTGCTGGGCATATACTGCAGCTAGATTAAGGCAGAGCAGGGAGAGTAGTTCAGAGGCTATTGGAAAAATTCATATAGGTGATGGTGACTTAGCACAGGGTGGTGGCAGTGGGGAAGTTGAGAGGTATAGAATAGTATCCTGAAAGAATATACCAGATTTCTTCACACTAGTAGTAAATCTGAGTACTTAGAGTTTTCAATATATAGTGTTGATAGTTGATATACAGTATATGTTTAACTTTTATCTTTTTCTAGGTTACAGTTCCTCTGAGTCATCTCATCAATGCCTTTCATTCACCAAAAAATACATCTGTTTTTGTCAGTGGAGCATCAGTTTCTCAAAACCAGCATCGAGATGTAGTTCCTGAGCATGAGGCTCCCAGCAGTGAGGTAATAGTTTTTACCTTGATAGTGTGAGAAAGCCCTTTTGATATATAGTTGATACTTGAACATCTTGGGGACTTAGGGGCACTGACCCCCCTCCCCCATGCAGTTGAAAATCTGGGTATCATTTTTGACTCCCCTAAAACTTAAGTACTTTTAGCCTGTTGTTGACTAGAAGCCTTACTGATAACATAAACAGTTGATTATCACATATTTTGTGTATGTATTATATACTATATTCTTATAGGAAAGTAAGCTAGAGAAAAGAAAATGTTTTTAAGAAAATCATAAGGAAGAGAAAATACATTTACTATTCAGTAAGTGGAAATGGATCATCATAAAGGTCTTCATCCCCATGAGAGGAGGAGGACGAGAAAGAGGACGGGGGTTGGTCTTGCTATCTGAGGGATGGCAGAGCCAGAAGAAAATCTGTGTAATTTCTGCCTTCAGCTTAATCTCCTTTGTAAATAAAGATATTTAACTCTGGCTTTTATTGTACATATAAAAAAGCTGCCTTATAGGAGCTTTTAGTCTAATTGAGCAGTTACAATATAGATACTTGAAATTGAAATGTATAAACTAGGAAACAGTACTTTGTAGTCACAGAATTATAAAATCAATGTTGCCTAGGATATGAGGAATTATGAACCTAAGAACCTTTGTATTACAGGAATCATTAATTAGGTAGTTGCTTATAAGCTCAGAATGCATTTTTCATAGAAAAGATATTATAATCTGTAGTTAAGTTTCTCAAGCCTCTTTAACTCATAAATAGCTTACGTTCTTAGTTCTGATATCAGGAGCTATGGCAAAGGACAGTAAGGAAGAAATGGAAAGAGTTTGCTTTTGAGGGGTGGTGTAGGGTCAGTCTTAGGATAAAATTTTAATTAGATGAAAAGTTTGTCTTTGTCACCTTTATGCTTTTCTCTTGTACTATTTGTCCAGTTCCTATTACGTCTTTCTATAGGCAATCTATTGTCTTTGTACTGTCCTGACATTCTTCTCCCAAATTATAGTCCAAGAGAGCCTTACTACTGAACACACTATATGTATCACAATTGCTACATGCAACAAAATTATGTTCGTTTTAGAAATTTTGGATAATATTAGTGTAGAAGATGTAAAATTCATCTGTGATCCTGTTCTCCAGAGATAATGTTCTTAACATTTTGTATTTATATTTAATGTCTTTTCCCCTTGTACTTTGTATACTTTATAACAATTGGATTATACCGTACATACTGATTTAGATTTTTTGTTCATTTAATAGTCTTATAAACTTGTTATGCCATGCATTTTCTATATTTTTAATGACTTCAGAGTATTGATAGTGTGATTTTCCCTGTTGGATATTTTCTAATTTTTTTGTTGTTATAAACAGCACCATCGTTACTACCCTTGTTGCTAAATCTTTGTTTCATTAAGTGAAATTGCTGAGTCAGTTGTGAAGTACATTTTGGGGGCTTGAAAAATAGCTAAACTCTAGAATCCAGTGTTCAGTTTAAGACTAATGTCATATACAGAATTCTTAATCTCTTATACACCCTCATTAGTCCTTCTGTTTGTCTTTAGTGAGTGCTCTTTGTGGTATCACAAAACTTTCTCATTTTCCTGAAGCATCCT